CAGCGGAGGATCCATGGTCCCCTTCCTTCCCTCCTCCGTAGTTGCTTTGAAGGAGGAAAGTGGGAGAGGAGCTGCTTACACGAGTGTAAGCTGCTCCCCTCCCACATTGCCGCCTCAAAGGGAGCCCGGAGGAGGGAATCTGCTGCAGCTTCCCCCACCTCCCGCAGAAGCCGCACGCTCTTTAAAGGGGCGGTGCGGCTTCTCCTGGGTTTTCTGGGAGGTGGGCGGATTCCCCACCTCGTAGAAAAGCCTGCAGGAGCCGCACAGCCTTTAAAGAGGGCGCCGCTCTTGGGGCTTTTCCCCCAGGAGGGAGAAGGGACTGCTACAGCCAGTCAGTCCCTTCTCCCTCCTGGAGAAAAGCCCGCAAGAGCGCACGAAGCTTGTGTGCGGCTCTTGAGGGCTTTTCCCACCTGCCTCCCCCTGCATTCGCTCCATAGGACGCACACACATTTCCCCTTGCTTTTTAGGAGGGAAAAAGTGCGTCCTATGGTGCGAAAAATACGGTAATGCAAAAAGTATTCATACCAAGCATGCTTATGAGCTGACAATAAGAGACTTGTCTTTCGGCACTTGGGAGAGGTTATACTGGCCTAGAGCAAAAAGAAAATACCACAGCCAACCATCCTAACAAACAGGATAGATGTATTGCTCAGAACCCCTCTCCTCCCTAGCCAAACAGAAGCCAAAAGGAACTCTGAAAGGCAGACTTGCAGTCCATCTAGCTCAGTATTGTCTACACTGATGGTCTGTGGCTCCACGGAGTGTCAGGCAGGAGTCTCTCCCGGTGCTACCTGGAGATGTTGGGAATTGAAACTGGTGCTCCACCACTCAGTTACATCACTTCCCAAAATAACACATGCATCTAAGAGATGCAGTTTCACAACAATCAAAGAGGAAACCCGTGGAAGACAAAGTACACAGCAGAGAGAGTACTATGCAATGCAAGTCACAGGGAGAAACTTTTAAGCTCTTCCTTCAAAGAGGAGACCAGGTATAAGCTGTGTACAAAACACCAACTGCGAAATACCAATCTGCTGCTGCCTCCATGCTTGATATGCTTTCAAGCTCTACAGGCCAAGTTGGGAGCACCGGACTGGTCTACCTCACAATTCAATTTTATCTATATGAGTCTTTTGTTGCACAGATGGGCTGGGCAGACATTACAAAGAAATGCACAGTCCACCTATTTCCAACGGCAACCAGGAAATACCAATATATATTGCACCCACAGGAAGCACAGTGTGGCTTACACAAGAGATCCCAAGTAATTTCTCAGCCAGACACCAACTGTCAAGTAGAAAGACGTGCTTAGCTTTAACAATAAAACAATGTAGTTCTTGTGCTCTCAAGATTATTCACCTACAATCAGAAGCTGTTTGTGGTAGGTTTACTGAATGGCAATGTGTACAAATGTGATTTGCTAAGACTGTGTAAGAACCAGAAAAAACTGCAAGCATAGCTAAGCACTACAGAGGCTGGATCCAGTTGCACATAAGTTAGTTGCACTTAATTCTCATTAAAACCAATGGAACTTAAGCCACAACCAACCCATCACATTGATTTTAATAAGGCCTATGTGAAATTAATGTGGCCCAACCCATTCTATTATATGTATTTATATCTCATTTTTCTATGTTAAACATTCATTCAAACTGGCTTACAAATTTTGTTTTAAGGTATAGTGAATGGTAAGAGAAGCATCAGAATGTACCATTTTGAAATAGTAAAAGCAGCTGGAAGGCAAGACATACAGTGCTTCCAAACAGGGACTTAATATTGCAAATGAGCAGTGGAGAGATATTCCAAATGGCTTGCTGGCAACAAAGGGTTTTTTTAATACAAGATTTTCTCTGCGTATTTTGTGCAGTTTGATACCAACCATGTGTGGATACTGCAAAGCAAAAAAGAAAACTTGCATGCATGAGGAGTACTAATCCCACAATAAACACCCACATTTAGAGATTTTACTTTAAGAATGGCCACTGAAGCAACACTGTTTTCAGCAGACTTTTAAAAAACATAGGGGCAAGGCTTAGCTCCTTTGGGAATATACATTCTGTTAGAATTATGCAGTGCACATCTGCATGAAGTATTTTTTAACAGTTTGTTTTTCTCCAGAGCTCTTGGTTTCCAAAGGAACCAAAGATTTTTGCACACAAACAGAAGAGGAAATAGCATCATAACTGGATAGTCAGGCTATGTGCCAAGGAGTGTCACAGGGCAAAAATAAATAACTATGGGTGAGAGTGCTGGACAAGGAAATAGCACTTCATCCCTTAACCAGTGGAAGCATTTTCCTATTCCCCCATATGTGTCTGAGCCCCATATTTTTTAAGGTTCCCTCCACAAACAAAAAAACGTAAGAACTGGTTTAAGGATTACTGAAAGCTTCTCTTCTCAGTGTGCCATGTTCTGCAACAGAAAACAGAGTCCACAAGACTTTGAACAGCATATGCACAGCCCTGGGGAGAGACCTTATTTACACAGCTCTCCCTGAAAAATAAAAATAAAATTGAATGCAGCAGAACATTGTGCAGTCATAATTCATCACTTCTACACGGAACAGGCAAATCAGAGTGCACCACAGTTCATTCCAAGCTAGACCTGTTAACCATACTCTCCCACAGGAACGTATTTGAAGAGACAGTGCATACCATTCTAGAACATTCACAGGACAGGAGTACTGAGCAGGTGGAAGGGAGACCAATCCAGTACAATAATTTCTATACATTAACATGAATTACCAACTGCACAGGTTGGTAAAGTGTGCTTCAGATTCACTAGCTGTTACTTTTTAAGCACTAACCAGCTGGACGGACCATCTGCACCCATATGAGCCTGCCCTGCCCTTAAGATTGACCACAGAGGCCTTGCTTGCAGACCTGGTGATAAAATCTATCAGGTCTGTGGGTACCAGAGGGCCTTCTCAGTGGTGGCTCCATCATTATGGAATTCCTACCCATGGGAAGTGTACTTGGTTCTCTCAATGATTGTCTTATAACAGGCTCTGGAAAACCTTATCTGTTTACATCTGCTTTTAACCAATCAATGTCATGATTTCTGTTATTATTCCCCCTGCCCTTTCATTCTACTGTACTGCTGGTTTTTATATGAAATTTGTATTGTATTTAGTAAGGTCCGTATAGTTAAAGCCATGGTTTTCCCAGTAGTGATGTATGGAAGTGAGAGCTGGACCATAAAGAAGGCTGATTGCCGAACAATTGATGCTTTTGAATTATGGTGCTGGAGGACACTCTTGAGAGTCCCGCGGACTGCAAGAAGATCAAACCTATCCAGTCTGAAGGAAATCAGCCCTGAGCGCTCACTGGAAGGACAGATCCTGAAGCTGAGGCTCCAATACTTTGGCCACCTCATGAGAAGAGAAGACTCCCTGGAAAAGACCCTGATGTTGGGAAAGATGGAGGGCACAAGGAGAAGGGGACGACAGAGGATGAGTTGGTTGGATAGTGTTCTCGAAGCTACAAACATGAGTCCAAACTGTGGGAGGCAGTGGAAGACAGGAGTGCCTGGCGTGCTCTGGTCCATGGGGTCACGAAGAGTCGGACACGACTAAACAACAACAACATTGTATTTTGTTAAATGATGTGAACCACCTTGACAGGGCTTTATAGCCCTGATGCCTTGATATGGTTTCTCTGATGTAGCATTCTAGGCCAGTCAAATGTCTCTGACATCCACAAGCAAAAGCATACCCCTGCTGTGTGTTCTCAGCCTTTGTGAACATGGAGGTTTCATTTCACTTTTACAGCTGTTAACCATTGAGAACTGGTAAACCCCTCCATTCATGAATAAGGATCTTATAACTTCTTTTAAATGGATGAGGTTTTCATTTAAACTGAAAAACTGTCCATTTGAATACGACCAAAGCTCCCATTGATCCAGCCCCACCATTATCCAAAACCACAGCATTAAGATGACATTATGATGAAAATGAATCATGCACGGTGTGGAGAAAGTTTAACAGTTAGCTTTGCTCTCT